GCAAAGTTGATACAGCAAGAATAGTCAGTTTAGCAAAAATTTTCAAGCTGATATGATATGAATTTTCAGGTTGATATTTTTTAAGTGATTTGATAAAAAATTGTGCAAAGTCAATACAGCAAGAATAGTCAGGTTAACAAAAATTTTCAAGCTGAGCAAATTTTAAAATGATTCGACAAAAATTTTCAGGTTGATAATTTTTAAAGTGATTTGATAAAAAATTGTTCAAAGTTAACATAGCAAGAATAGTCAGTTTAGCCAAAATTTTCAAGCTGAGCAAATTTTAAAATGATTCGACAAAAATTTTCAAATTAATAAAACATTAAACTTCGCAAAAAAAGAAGCTCCACAATTTCCTGTAAAAATAGTCGAATATTTTCTAACAAACGAGAGGTGAAGCAATCTAAAAATCGCAAGGTTTAACCTCAGTGAGAAGACCCCAAAAGGAGGACACGAAATACTAAATATTGAGGGACGTTCATTATAATTCTCTGATGGTCCTCGAGGAAGAGCGAAATAGAATAAAGGCACACGTCGGTGCAAGTGGGCGAGCTGGCAAAAATCTTACGTAAGAATCCGCCGTGCTCAGACGAACACAATGAGACGAGGATACAGTATTTGCATCCTGGCTTCAAGGATTCGCGTTGTTAAAGGCAGTCGTTCGAGAGGACGCGTTTTGCTTGCAATCTCCGGCTGTTCGAGCGGAAAACCAGCCAGCTATTAGCGGGGCTCGACAAAAAAGAAAAATAATCACTTTTTGTGCAGTCGTGTTTCGACATTAATTTTCAATAGCAAAGATTGCTCAGTCATTTGCGAGCGAAGGATCTTATTCAATGGGCACTTCGTTGATTAACGTCGGTGTCTTTGTTAATTTTATAGGGAACTTTTATGTTTTTGTTACAGTTGATAGGGGATAATTGTATAATGAACTTTTCTGCTCGTTAAGTCTCGTGGTGTGGAAAATTGTACGTTTGCTGCTGCAATGGACTGGAACGGATTATTAACAGTCCGGTGTTTATCTAGCGATTTATGTAATAGGTTTTAGAATTAGCGCCTTTAAGTGTAGCTTCGTATTTTTAGATTTCCTTGCTCGATTGTGGAGATTAAAACTATCTTCAAAAGTTTAATATTCTAAACTTTCTAAATTCTCAGATCCAAAGTGTCCAACTCCCAAAATTATGAAATTTTAAAGCCCCACATCTTCAAATTTCTAAAGTTCCGAATCTACAAAGTTCTAAAGTCTCAAGGTCCTAAAATCAAGGTTCTAAAGTTCCAAGTCGCGATGCAACTTTCGATTGATCGCAAAAACTTGTTAAACGCGCGTTGCGTGTACGATCTGCCCGTAATTGACAGAGCGAGTTAGCATAATTAGCATGCATTAATTTGGAAAAAAATAGACGTGTCTACCCGATACTTACGATGCATGATAGCCTTACGATAATCACACAAGGTGAATGTTGCAGCTTGAACGATGTAGTCGCTCTAAATGGTAGCAAATTTGCGAGATGATTAATGAATTTTCGCGACGATGATTCCTGTTTGATGTATCCTGCTGCTACATTCGATTCCCGCTCGGTCAACCCGTCTATCAACTAACTCATTACCCAGCTGCGTAATCATTTGCCTTCGGCGATCGATAATTGATACGTTATTACACTTTTACATTTGTACGGGCCATAATCAGCAAAGCGGTCACGCAACGTTCACTTATTTGAAAACTGGACGAAACCACACCCCTGCGGATCTACTTGCTCGGCGAACGTTGACAGAAATTAGAAGGCAATCGGTTGTCTTATGAACCCTTTAAGAAATTGTCTCGAAACCGGTTGCGCTAATTTCGATGGAACGTATTAATAGATACAAATTTTTCTCGTGTATGTGGACACTTATTGGGGTTTCATTAATTTTCGAAAATAGTAAACGGTCTCGTTAGAGGTTGGGAAAAAGCAACTTTCCAAAGCAATTAGACCAATCAGCGTGACAGTGCGAGATTTGTGTCAAGTTTGCTTCATGACGAAATACAGTTACGATACACATACTAATGACTTTGTTCGCCGTGAGATTTGTGTGACGTTTGCCAAATTTTTGAGTTTGAGAATTCGGCAACTTAGAAATGTTCTGAACCCTATTTCTAAAATTCTGAACTGTGAAGTATCTGTGTATGTATACCTTCTCGTCTCTAAATCACTGAATCCCTAAATCTCTGTGCCCCTAAACACCTACATCCCTAAATCCATATATCGTTAAATACCTATACCTCTAAATCCCTGCATCCCTAAATTCCTGTACCTCTAAATCCCTGCATCCCTAAATTCCTGTACCTCTAAATCCCTATATTGATAAATCCCTGTACCTCTAAATCCCTATACCTCTAAATCCCTGTACCTCTAAATCCCCGTACCCCTAAATCCCTGCATCCCTAAATTCCTGTACCTCTAAATCCCTATATCGCTAAATCCCTGTACCTCTAAATCCCTGTACCTCTAAATCCCCGTACCCCTAAATTCCTGCATCACTAAATTCCTGTACCTCTAAATCCCTATATCGCTAAATCCCTGTACCGCTAAATACCCGTACCCCTAAATCCCTGCATTCCTAAATTCCTGTACCTCTAAATCCCTGTACCTCTAAATCCCTGTACCTATAAATCCCCGTACCTCTAAATCCCTATACCCCTAAATCCCTGTATCTCTAAATCCCCGTACTCCTAAATCACCGTGTCCCTAAATCCCCGTGTCCCTAAATCCCTGCCAACTAAAGACAACCAAATTAAAAACTAAAATGAGAGGAACTATCTTCAGTAAATTTCACACAATTCAATTATGCACTACTGTCAGTCCTGTCATTTTCATCTTGCAAATTGTAAGAACATTTTCAATTTGAAAATCCAGTAATAATGCCAATCCAGGAGGAAACACGGAATCGATTTTCAGTCAACTGCACGCGTAACTCGACAAAGTCAACATTATTGAAAACGAAGTCTTGTACAACAAAAAAAGAAGAATGTGATTTACGCTTTTACACGACGTGCAGCGTATATAGACATACGGGGCTGAACATACTTACGCTGCCCTTGGGACAATAATGCACCGAGTACACGCTTTTATACTCTCTTTTTATTCCCCTATCGTGATTTCTGCGAAGGGATTATCGGACCCCACGGGACATCGTATCAAGCATCTGTATCGATGTCTTTGTATGGCACACGATGACATACTTGCCATTCATAATTGAAACACGGTATCGACGTGCCTATTGCAGACGTAGCAAGTTCCCGGAAGGGCTCGATGCCATTCTCTACTTCCTTGTAATAATGGATTGGAAAGGCAAACATCGTACATACAATTCGCTAATTTGCCTTTGGTGACAGGGTTATATTCAGGGAAATCGTTTACCAAAATGAATTTTTTCGGCAATTTATGCAGGAGTTTAATTATTAGAATTGCATGGTGACAGTATCTGTCCAAGTAACATTTCATCTGACGGAATTTTTGATAAAATGTGCGATATTATATTCGAAGCAATTATTCAGGAATTTGATTAAGCGTGCATAATTCTGTTTCCCATTTGTGATATTGGAAAATATAAATTCGTGTATCGATAAATGAAACAACGAAGCAGAACGTATTTACAACATTATTTAGAATAAAATTTATCGTTAATTTGTTCGATAAATTTTCGATGCTTGCATCGTTGAGTATCATTGTAATCGAATCGCTCCAAAATTAATTTAATCACGCCATTAAATTCTTGAATTACGTTTTTCTCAAGAATAACGGAACCAAATTATCGCTTGCGTAATATTCTTAACGATCCCATGATACTGTGCATACTTTGCTGTTAATGATCCAAATTTGCACAAATTACTGTTACAATTAAACTAACACTTCACGAGCCAGAGTTACCGCATATTAGCTGCGAGCACACGCGTCTTCGCGTTACTTAAATAGAGCATAAATTGCAGTAATTAAGTACCAAAAATTCTTCGAGATTATCGTGGTCAAGATTTGTCAGCTTTTACGGAGAAACACGCGTAATGTTATGCAACGTTTATGCAATTCGTGCAGATCTTTGTTTATTCATAGCAAGTCTTTTATAAATGTCCTTGTTCTTCTGACTGAACATATTCAACCTTTCGTAACTCGAAAGCGACACTTTTTCGAGTCTTACCTTCACAAAAATGATGTAATGTCACTCTTTGAATCTTTCGTTTTATAATACATAAAAAGGTATTTTGCTAAGATACGTTAAAATGTGAGCCTGAAGAGAGAATACGCGTCGTCAAAGAGACATGTAACTCGACACAATTTCGACGTTCATCGAATTACGGTTAATTAAACGTCGCAAGATATTTTGAATACCGTAATTGATATCGCGGAGCAATAAATTGCCGGTCGAGCAGAGAGAGTAGAAGCAGGCAAATTTAATTCATCTGATTACAGAGAAGGGGGACGACACGAGGCCAACTCAGCACAGTCCACACAGGACCGCAGGAAGCTCTTGAAACGAACAAGGAGCCTTGCGGTGATATCCGAGGACGAATCTCGACAAGATCGAGAGGCACATCACTTCAGGCTGGGACAATCGACCTTCGATTTGCCCAGGAGGCATCAATTGATCCCGCGAGCGAAGCTGATCGATCGGAACTCTCTGAAGGACAGGTTAGTTACGATAGAATTTAACTCACGACAATGAGCTTACAGGATTGCGTTTGTACGTCGATCAAAGGAAAAACCTTGAGCCGTTTCGTTCTGCCCAGGATTCGATAATTCTCGATCCTATCGTGATTTCCTATCCTTGTATCAACCTGCTTCGTTAACTCCGTCCTTTCGATTTTTGGCTTCAACAGGTTTTTAGCTTTTAATGTCTTAAGTGGATTTTATTGGGTTAAGCGTTACATTTTTTAACTTTGAACTACAGAATATTGCATTAATGAATGAATGCGTTCATAGAAACATAAAAGATAATCACTTTAAAGTAACAATGAAATCAAAAATTCATTAAAAAATTGTTTAACTTTGAACTACAGAATAATGCATTAATGAATGAATGCATTCATAGAAACATAAAAAATAATCACTTTAAAGTAACAATGAAATAAAAAATTCATTAAGCATTAAAAAATTGTTTAACTTTGAGCTACAGAATAATGCATTAATTAATGAATGCATTCATAGAAACATAAAAGATAATCACTTTAAAGTAACAATGAAATCAAAAATTCATTAAAAAATTGTTTAACTTTGAACTACAGAATAATGCATTAATGAATGAATGCATTCATAGAAACATAAAAAATAATCACTTTAAAGTAACAATGAAATCAAAAATAAAACGTACAAAAATCGACTAATTCCACAAATTATATTCTGCAAAAGAATGACGTCAAAGTAGAATGACTTCATTTTTTAAGATTAAGCGACAAATTTATCAAAGTTCCCGAGCGAACTAATTTAAGAAATTATACAGTGCTTAAAATAACAGCAACATCAACGAAACCCATCTTGGTTAAACATCGGTAATTATAATAGCCTGCAGCGCATCGAGTATAACGAACTCGTGCAAAGTTTTTAATTGCTCGTAACGCAAACTCGATTTGCATTGTTTCCATGTAATCATCGGATTCTTTGTTCTACGAGAATACTCTCTCAATAATCGGGATTCGAATCAGTTGCGAAGCAACTATAATCGAACCTCGTACAAATATCGTGTCCTGGAGCGGCAATTAAGTGTGCATCGTTGTTTGAAACAGGTGGAATTACATTTGGCCCCGTTTGATTTCGTGCAGCGTTAGAGAAATTAGTGGACAATGCGCCGGTCGACAGCTTTAATTACGGGCAATTTGATACGGTTTAGAAAAATAAACGAGCAGAAACTGGTCGAGAAATCAGAGATTTTTGGCGCGTGATTCGATTACTCGCTTTCGTTCTTCATCAATGTTGCAGATCTTGCTTCTAACCCTTTCGTGACTGAATTAACGACTGCAAAGTTGATCTACTGGTTTTTGCGACTTTAATGGACGCTAAATATAGAACTTTGCATATAAAAATTGAGATGTGCACTCACGATTGAATGTTTGATGCTTGCTTTTGGGTGAAACAAGGTTCTTGCAGTTTCAATAATATTTATGAAGATATGTGTTTTGAAATCGAGAGTTGAATTATGTAATCTTGCACTGGCATGTATAATATGCTCTCTTCTTAAAGGACAAAAATACGTGTTACGATTAAAAAGTTGTATTCATAATTTGCAGACATTGAGTTCTGACTGTCACGTATAAACAGACACTTTTTATTGAACAGTAAATTGTCACCACTTGCCTATGCAATTTATTTTAAATATCTTGCACTGGCATGTATAATGTGCTCTCTTCTTAAAGGACAAAAATATATGTTACGATTAAAAAGTTGTATTCATAATTTGCAGACATTGAGTTCTGACTGTCACGTATAAACAGACACTTCCTATAGAACAGTAAATTGTCACCACTCGCATAGGCAATTTATTTTAAATATCTTGCACTGGCATGTATAATGTGCTCTCTTCTTAAAGAATAAAAATATGTGTTACGATTAAAAAGTTGTATTCATAATTTGCAGAAATTGATTTCTTCTGACTGTCACGTATAAACAGACACTTTTTATTGAACAGTAAATTGTCACCACTTGCATAGGCAATTTATTTTAGGTGCAGCTACAATTGCACCTAAAAGACTTATACAAAGTGTGTCAGTGTAGCGAAGCAATATCGTGACAAAGTGATAACAACAACAATTATTATACATAATAGTCTAAGAACAGTACATAAACGTCCTATCAGATAACGTCACACAATTGGATCATTATCGCGCTCTTAAATGCAATCTGAGAAAAAGGGAAATAAATGTGGCATGCATGTCACGAAAGGGTTAAGCCTCGTTTCGAATCCTTCGATATAAAAAGCCCAACGAATTGTTTATCGATAACAGATCTCGACTCTATTTAAAGAATGTAAATCGCCATATTTCTGTGTCAGGAAAAGAGAGCAGAGTTCCAATTTCGAATAGGACTGATTGTAAAAACTCGTTTGCGTTACAGGCTTTACAAGAGTCAACAACACCTTTCGGATTCTTACGAACGATTCAACGAGGCAAAATCGTACCATTCAAGATCGGCTTGCGGTCTTCACTCGATCCCGCCGGTACTCTCTTCGTTTCCGGATCCTCTGCCGTACACTCGTGCCAATCGATCTGATCCGGATCGGTTGAACATTCTCGATTGGCCAGAATCACCGAGACGTTATCGCAGCGTGCAGACGTTGGACACCGTTAGCGGATTAGTGGATATTGTAGAAGATAGCTGGCCCGTCGAAGGCAATCGCAGCATCGATTGCATTTATACTCAGGTAAATATCGTGTACTATCGATTCACATAGTGGTCTAAATTTAATTCGCTAAACATGAGCTGATTTTGAGTCACCTTTCATATACGAAAATATGGATTCCAGGTAATTGTTCACTAGAGGAGGGAAATTTTAATTAAAATTTGAGAGTACATAAAGTTTATTTCAGTAAAATTGAATGACGTCTTTTAGTGCCAGTCTTTGCTCCTGGTTAAGATTAAATAATAAAATCACGTCAGTAAAATTTTTTAATTCTATTTCGAAGTATATAAAACAAGTACAGATTAATTATTGCAAAGGAAACAAAATAATGACATAACACAAGAGAACTAAAACTTGCAAAGTTTAATACGATTACAAGTTTATAAAACTTGTAAAAATAAGCTCGCAAATGCGCTTTAGAAAATCCACTTTAAACGAAGTCACCAAAGTAATATAATGCATTGGAGGGTTAACTAGTTTTCAAGATATTGTGCTTACAAATTGACTGATTTGCAGCAAAAAAGCTTGGGAGTAGAAAGTGCATACGGCTTCTGGTTACCCTTTGTTCTTACAAAGCCATTATTTGGTACTTGACAATGGACGAATTTAAAAACACATCAGGCTAATTAACACTTTGAATAACGCGTAAAAATTGTAAAAAAATGTCAGTAATATTTTCACAACCTTTCTACAAATTTTATACAAACGAGTACGTAAAGAACCAACGAAAAATCCAGCACAAAATCTGCGTCGTTATTCTCCTTTACGGTGATCAAAAACGAGGCTTTCCTCCTTTGAAACAGTTTATCTTCCCCCAAATTTATGGCAGTTTTATAGGTTTTAAAATGCTTATCCTCGTACACATTACGTAACAGCGCAGAAGATCTGCAGCATAAGCAATGGTCTTAAACTTAAGGCGCAGAAGAAATTTCGAGATAAAGCAATTTCGAATTCAGGTAGTTTAGAGATCTTAAATGGTGTCGCATATACATTAACGTTCAATTGACTTTTAATGACGCTGCAGCTGCTTCCGAAGTTTTAAATTCAATGAAGAAAGCCTTATCGTTCATCAGTAATTCAGTTGTGAATTCGATAGAAACTTTAAACAGACAATAGGAGACACTGTTTTTGAAACGGTATGACTCACGTTTTGTCTCGCGCACACACGAGATATTTCACGAATCTAAAATAACGCGGGAATAAGGTTAATGCAGTCAACGTATTCAAGCTCTGAAACGAAGCTTTCATATTTCCTTGAAATCTGGTACTTGGTGGATTCGTCTTTAATCTTATTCAATTTAAAGTTTACCTTTCATCTCCCGCCGATATCATCGGATCAATGCCATAGTTCTCGTAACGAGTTTAATCAGGAAAACTTTGAGTGCTTGATCAGAATCAAATAAACCCGTATAAACTCCGAGACGCGGTGAATTCGTAAATTGCAGATTCTAAAAGTTTGAGCTATTTTCGACTGAATGGCTTTGCAGTCTATTAGCGGAACACGCGGTAAATTTATCGTCGCCAACTTCTGAAATTTGTGAATTATGGATGATTATAGATCATAAATGAGAGAACCCAATAACTGATCAGAATTTGCATTTCAGGTGAAACGTAAACGAAAGGAGCACAGGAGTCTGGACAGCATCCTGTTCGAGGACGACGGTGAATTAGAGTACTTCGACGTGTTAAATCTGTTACCTTTATCGAACGTGCGTTTGGAGTTTGACGAGGAGGACGCACGAAACAATAATCACCCGAGGAATAACTCAAACTCCGAAGGCAACAAGTTGAAATCCCTGGAGTACCTGGAATCACAGTTTGCCGAGGAGAATTCGACGAGGAGCAACGCCACGGACGAGGAGAAATGTAAAGAGAGTAGCACGAAGGAGGATAACAGTTCGCCCGAGATTCGGGTAGAATCGTACCAGGATAAGGACACGAAAGACCCAGATTCCTTGCAAGGATCCAGGGAAAACTCATCGCCCGAACAGACGAAGGAAGAGTGTAATCTTCGCGACGATTCCTTCAGCGAACGAGTCTCTGTAAGCCGCTTTAAAAACAAGTCGGATCGGCGATATACGTCGTTGAAGCCAGATGAGGAGAGGCGCAGCGAAGAGCTAAAGGCCTCCTACGGGAAACAGATCGATCGACAGGTCGAGGAGGCGGAAGATTACAAATCGATTTGGATCTCGGACACCGAAGAACAGGAGGACATGTCTAGGAGGCCTCAAGTACTCAAGGTTGTCGACAACGACGTGACCAAGAGGCGCCATCGACGCCTCACCACGGAAATTGATCTCAACGCGAAGGATAAGGTCGAAGGGAAACGGAACGAGCGGAAGGGATCGAACGGCAGCGTGGACGTCGCGAAATCGAATGGGAAGATCGAGGAACACGATGCTACCTTGAAGAACACCGAGGTGAGGTGCCATAACAGTTTCAGAGAAATATTGTCTTTCAATGTCTACATATTCAAGAATCTGAATGTTCCATATTCTTCATAACACGAATATTCAAATGTCTAAATATTTTCAAATCCCTGTACATGCAAATCCCTAAATCTCCAAACTCTAAATTTTTCATTCAACATCAAAGACCCTGTTCCGTCAACTGAAAGGCACTTGAGCCTCTCGAATATGACGTCACAATTTCCGCTGTTTCAGAACGTGCCCCCAGAAGAGGACGCGACGAAGGCAAGCGTGGAGGAGGCGAAAAATTTCTTCGAGCAGAAGAATTCGCAAAAAACGAACGGAAGGAGTAAGCAGAACGAGGGTAGATTCGAGAGGATCGTTAAGGAGACGTCGAACATCCTAGGGAAAGCATGCAGCGCGGTGAAAGGCAGCTTGGGTTTCGAGGCGAGATCCGAAAGCTCGGATCTTGGATTAGGTTCAGAATCCGGAAGCGACACGAGGAGGAGATCCGTCGACGACGGTGTCGACGAGGATCACTCGGTGACGGATAAAGCGTCCTCGACAAAGACGAAGGAGAACAAAAAGGTGCACAGCAATTTGACTCGGTCTCGTAGCTGCGTGGATTCGATAGAGTGTCAGGACGACGAGCAGGAGTTCGATCACGTGCGCTACAAGATCGTCAAGTCCAACATGTTCAGTAAGAACATGTACAACGGGGGACGAGGCGACGTCACGTACGAAGGGCTGATGCAGTATTTGCGAGAATATTCTTTCCAAGAACTACTGTTGGACAATAACGTCGTCATCATCGAGCCGGTGCGAGCCGAGACCATAGAGCGTAAACCAGCCACTGTGGGAAAAGCTAGATCCGAGCCGAGTTGCAAAATTGCAGGGACCATACAGAAGAAAACGGACGAGGAGAATTGCGAGAGAAACTGCGAGAGCGCGGATAACACCAAAAGTCCGAAGCAGTCGTCCATCAAGAAACATTTCTTCTACCACCCCATTCGAGTGAACCGCGAGCTGATAGACGAGGAGCTACCCGATCCGGACACTGTGAGAAACGTCAGAAAGATGTTCGAGAATACGCTCAAGATGAAAAATAGCAATGGCACGGAATTATCGCGGGACTGCAAGCATAGAAAGAGCGTCAGTATGAAGGACTTGAGCACCATCGACGATGCTCAGTTCGAGGAGATATCGCAGAAGGTGCACGAAGGAACCAGGTAAACATCAATCGGTAATTGTAACCGATCATCGATTGCTTATCAATACTCAATGGTACGTTATTAACGATGATGGTGGAATTTTAACGATGGTGATGGCAGTTGTTAGTGATAGTGGTTTCATGTCATTCGATCTACTTATTTAAACTTTGAATCTAATGTAACCTGACGTCATAAGTTCATCGTGATCAAGCTTCAAGTACTAACTCAACAGAATTTACATCTAATTTACATTTACAGAATTACATCTCTTGTTCAAACTTTGAAATGAATTTAACATACTACCTCAACTTTATTAAATTTAATACATAACTTCATCGTTCAAATCTATTCTTGTTTAATCTTCAAATTGAACTCGTAACCCAAGACCCTCGCAAGATCTCCTTTATTCCTAGATCCCCGTAGTTCAACGTAAAATCCCCACCGGCGCAGCTAATAAAAACGACAAAAATCATCGGCAGGTCCAGATGTTCCAGCAGAGCGAAGGATCTGACCAAACTGTTCGAAAACATGGAGAAGTCCACGTCGTCGAACGCGTCGGTAGTAGGAGGCAAGGACGAGCTAGATAGTCCCCGAAGCGAATCAAAAACGAGGATGCTGGCGCAGTCTTTCGAGGCCAGGAGTGGTCACACGTCCCCCAGTGACTCGACTTCCTCGAAAAACAAAGTGAACCGTTATCACCATCATCATCATCATCACAACTGGGACGCCGGTAGCGTGAGTTCCGGGGTGTCCAGCGATTACCCCGACACGGACCCAGGCAGCGGTGTGCATTGCATCTCGTCGGAAGACGAGATCGACTGCCACGAGGACGAGGGAAACGATACGGGTGGTTCGAGCCACTACGTGTCCCAGGACGTGCTGAAGAAGATCCGCGAGTGCGGTACCTCGGTCACCTACTACGGGGGCAAGGTGGTGAACTCCAGCAACGGACCACTGATCTCGCCGTTGGTCGGCAACAGGTTCAAGTGTATCGACAGGTCGAACGATTACGTGAAATTCCGACTGGTGAAGAGCAACTCCTGCGACAGTAGGTTAGAGCTGACCGGGAGGTTGGTGGAGAATCACCTGAGGCATCGCAACCGCGAGAAGACGGCGGACCTGAGTCAGTACACCATCGCCGAGACACCCAGTATCGAGATCACCACGTTGGAGAAGCAGGAGAAGGAGGATCAGAGTGCCGGCGAGGAGATTAAAAGATCGGAGACGAAGAGAGAACCACCCGTGGTGATCGGATTGGAGCCGAAGAAGGACGAGAACAAGGAGACCAAGAGCTTCAAGGCTGACTTCAAACTGGGTAACCTGGAGGACGCGAAATCGACTTATCCCAGCCGATTCATCGGCAGTGCCCTGACCAGGTGGCAGGTGAACGAAAATAATTGGAGGACCCACGACGATTTCGGGAAGATGGAGTTCGAGGAATTCGAGGTGCTCGAGGACAGTCTGAACGGAACGGAGAACCAACGATCGGAAAGTTCCTGAATGGATGGAGCTTTCTTTCTAGTTCGGTGATATAGCACGTAGGGAACATTGCCAAAGGAAAGCCGACAGTTTCGGTAGGATTTTTACGATACACTCGTAAAAGTTTCGGCTATTCCCGAACGAGGACACAACCGTTTGGAACTGTTCCTGCGGGATTCAATTGGGACCCTCTCATCTTTGAAAGCGATTGCGTTTCAACGGTGACTACGGGAGGATTGTACAATTGTCAATGGAGGTTTCCTAGCAACGAGCAACTTGGATATTTGATTAAGCCGTAAATGCATCAAAGCGTTGCGACCAATAATGGTTACAATGTAACGTCGAAGAATGCACGGTACAGATACGAGTGTATATAAAGAAGTTAATGAACCTTTTGATCGGTATTCTCGTTAAATTGTTGTACGAGTAGTTGCCCACAGGCTGCATAATAAACGTTCGGTAAAAATGTTTCCTTGCACCTAATCCTTTCAACTTCGTCATGTTTCCATCGTAAAGGAAGGTAATGGGTTCTGCATAGACTGCTCTATAATAGCACGAGCTAACTGCTTCATTTCCATTAAAGGACAGGTTGGTACAAGATATACTGAGTTTATTAAGAAACTGTATACACGCATCTACATGTGTGCAGATCAAGTGTATGTATGTATTCATACGTATATGAATACGTATGTTAATATGTATACATATACATATGTGTACGTATATGTATATGAATAGGTACGTACATATGTATACGTATAAAATGTGCACACGTAGCTACAGGTATACAGGTGCACATATTTGTTGATAACATATATCCATACATGTCCATAGATCAAATGTATGTATATATTCATACGTATATGAATACGTATGTTAATATGTATACATATACATATGTGTACGTATATGTATATGAATAGGTACGTACATATGTATACGTATAAAATGTGCACACGTATCTACAGGTATACAGGTGCACATATTTGTTGATAACATATATCCATACATGTCCATAGATCAAATGTATGTCTGTATTCATACGTATATGAATACGTATGTTAATATGTATACATATATGTATACGTATATGTACATGAATAGGTACGTACATATGTATACGTATAAAATGTGCACACGTATCTACAGGTATACAGGTGCACATATTTGTTGATAACATATATCCATACATGTCCATAGATCAAATGTATGTCTGTATTCATACGTATATGAATACGTATGTTAATATGTATACATATATGTATACGTATATGTACATGAATAGGTACGTACATATGTATACGTATAAAATGTGCACACGTATCTACAGGTATACAGGTGCACATATTTGTTGATAACATATATCCATACATGTCCATAGATCAAATGTATGTCTGTATTCATACGTATATGAATACGTATGTTAATATGTATACATATATGTATACGTATATGTACATGAATAGGTACGTACATATGTATACGTATAAAATGTGCACACGTATCTACAGGTACACAGGTGCACATATTTATTGATAACATATATCCATACGTAGATAAAAAAATGTGTCTGTACCATAAATGCGAAACGTGTGTATTATATCGAAAAATATTTTCAAAAATTCTTAAAGCATGTGTATATTTTATGGAACATCCTATACACGAGCTACTCTGCTATTTTCAGCAGTGATGTAACCTGAATATTTTTTTAAAAAGATGTTATATGAACATCTTTATTTAGATTTGCAATAACAAAGTCAATGCAACATATCCTTGCCAAATGTTAAAATAAAGAGTGTTGAGTGTTAAACAAGTTTAAAAGAAGATTGCTGAGACGTACTTTTTAAAAACAGGACGATGTTTCTCGCTCGTGAGTTTACATATTCATTGCTGCCATCTGCAGGAAACATTCGAGTGCAGACAAAATTATTTCTGTTGAAATATTTCAATGAATTAATTATATCAACGTAAATGGTCTGCATTCGCAAAAATGTGAGGTACAGAATAAATATGTAAATTGAATGAGCTATTTATGTTGAAATAATGATACGTTCATATCTTATTCGATGATTGGATAAACGGGAAAATAAACTCAATACTCTACACATATATTATTCATTGTTTTTATTATAATAATTACGTTGTAAAATTACATCAGAGCTAATGAAAATACTTTTAAATTTAACTTAAAAGAATATTTATAGAACGTAAGATAATTCAGTCTGTGATGTAAATCCCCTGGGAGCTAATGAAGACGCAATGTCGTTTAAAAAATGTTAATGAAAACGAGCACATCATGAAAGTAAACGAGTCACAGAACATAATGACACAAGCTTACCATGCATTAGCTACATTTTTAAGCGGAACAAAACGCACGAAAAACTTTTACCACTCAAAAAAGGTCCCACGCCATGAAAGTTTACGACAATGAATATTTCAGGAGTACCATGACGTCTAAAACTGCGATACTCTTTAATCACCTAGCTCGAGCTTTCCGCAAGACCTACACGAACTTAAATATAACAATCTATTTATACGAAATCATCGTAACATTGCGAAGTTACTGTGCCCGGAGTTTCGTCGAAATTTCGATAAATCAACGAGACTATACGCGAGTTAGTTCCAGTCTAACGATACAGAGGTATTCGAAAACGCTGATTGATCTGATAGTCAAAACGGAGGAATTCGCGTATCAAAGGGCCTCAGAGAAGCCAGAATTCAGAACATTCCTCTTAAAACGAAAATAAAGGAGACCATGCAACGACTTGTACTACGACAATAGCTACGAAAAGCTTTCTGATGTTTCCTGTTATAACACCATGACGCATTGCTCCTTTTATATCAGGTTTTATCGCGTTCCATCACTCACCGGTATCCACCGCGTTTTGAGCGTCCAAACTCTTAGGCGCCTTGTCGTCCTGAGACAATCTCGACGGTTTCAAATCCTTCGATACGGTTTTAGTCTTCGAACCCTCCACCTCTTTCGCCAAAATTGGACTCAACCCGGGAGCGAAACAGCTCGTCGTCAGGAACAGATTCCTCTGGGAAATGTGCCACCACCTTTTGCACCATGTCTCCTGCAACACGAAAAATCACGGCTACTTTCGACGCAATTCATTACACCTAACGTTACTACACTGTTTCTACGTCATGGCTCTATAGACTGCATAAAAATTTCATAGGGCACACACGTGCTGCTCGACTGAACTTGAAACCGACAGGTTTAAATTATCGACGTTCACAAATTTCAGTTCTGTGATATAACAGTTTCTCTTAAAATATCGAAATCTTAAAATTAATATGGCTTCAAATTGAAATTTGTCATATTCAAGAGAGCTTGCAAACTCGACAGTTTCAAAGTGAAACTTCTAATAATCGAGAGTGCTTCTAAACTGAAATTTGTTATACTCAAGAGGGCTCGACTAAAATTTGTATTCAAGAGTGCTTTCAAAATTTCTGTAACTGAAGGAACATCAGAACTATAAGGAACATGAAAGCTAACCAGTCTCTTTCAACCTTCCTCTAATAATATTTTTCAATTTGTTTGAAAATTGATATTGACATTTATTGTTAAAAATGATAGCACGAAAGTTCCCGTCACAACTTATAAAAGCATGAAAACATAATTTTATCAGTAGCCTCGACGTGTCTCTCATCGAACAATACCAGTGTCAAAAACTTTAGCAAACACGGCTACACGACTACAGCGGCATTTCTCTTGTTTTTCTTGGCAGACGCGTGTATTCACGCCTGTTTGCGTTCAATTAGCAGCCCCACATTGAGACTGCAAACACTAGGAACGTTATTTCACGCGTTATAGACTGCCGACTCAATTATGATCCTGCATCATGTAACGAGAAATTGTAATCGAATATTCTCTTATTCGATTATACGGAATGGTAATTGCAAAATTCCAATTTCGAATTCTCTCTGTAGAATTCGAACGATTCTATTATCCGGAAATTCTAGGTTTCGGAATAATTTTATTCGCGAAAAATATTAAAATTCTTTTTTGATTTTTTTTCGATTAAATAGGAAATTGCGGGGTTTTTCAGAAATTAATTCGTCGTTAACATGTCCAGACATCAAGAGTTTGGCCGGCATCCAAACTACAGGGTCAACGTAGGAGTTTGGCAACGGGACGTGCATACTCTGCTGGAAATTCCAACGAAAAAAAATAAATTCGACGTTTCACGGTATCTAACGGCGTTTATCGTAAAATCGTCGATACACTGGCGGAAACAAGAAATTCGGAGAGAACGTTTCCTTTGCCGAGACCCGTATTGCTTCATAAGCTTTGAGGAAACATTCGATGGAAATCGCGAAGGTGAGTGCATCTGTCACAGTACGAAAGACTGCATTTTATTTCCATGGAAGAGTGGTAATAGTGCCGCAGTGCGTATCTCCGAGATATTATCCAAACGGAGACGTAAAACCGCGACAGGAATAAGCAACGTGCTTTAACTTTCGAAGAAACTGCGATATTGGAAATATTGCATTCCGTTTGAATTATAACTTCTGGCTCGAATGTTGCTATATACGCTGTATTAATGCTTGGTATGTTTAAATTATGAAATTTTATTCTACATTCAAATTCTTGTGTCAATCATAAACTGTAGTATCTTGTTAATAAATGAAGTTATCGACAATCTTTCGTAGCGAGCTTCTTCAATTTATTTTAACTGCATATCATAAAATAAACCTATTGTACATATGCTCTGAGAACTGGTTCCTGAATTAGAAATGACCCAACATAAAACTTACTGCTCATGCATATTCAATGACCTCTTCTGACGGATTTGAATATTAACGTAACCTTTAAATCTTTTAGTGAACTTCTAAATTTAGACCCGAGGATTTAAAGACGCATTTTTGTAAATTAAAAAGGGAAGAGGTTGAAGACCACTAGAATTTTCAGAGGCAAGATCACGAAGCTTTCGTTGCGCAGCAACAAAGGTAACTGGTTCTTACGTGTCCCTTGGAGCAAGGGTGTCTAATAGGTATAATGTTTGAATTTTATTGCGGTCATGTTGCCGTTCCAATCTCGGGGAGAAACTTGGTCGAAATTGGGTCAACCGGAGTAACGCGCGCGAATGGCTGCGTCCATGGCAAAGAAGTTTAGCGAGTACGACCTCGAGGATTCTCTTCGAGAGCTGCTTTTTTCTCCAGCTGGAACTCTTGGCACCCGACTTTTACCACGATATTAAAACGGTTCCCGTTAATCTGCCTCGGTTCAGTCACTGTTAAACGTGCGGGGTCTTGCGAGAGAGCGCAGAGGTCTTGCGTGAAAATTTAATTGTTCGTTCTATTTCGCTTTTGGTTGAAATTTTCGTTAAGCGTTTGAGTCTTTTGTCGCTGCTCAAGATAGTTTTATCTACTCGAGTAACCGTATCTCCAGGATTCTGTAAATATAACAAGTGTCCCGAAGGTATACCCGAAGGATAGTCGGTGAAAACGCGCTCTGATGAAGCACGATTGTTATCTTTTTCACGGAGAAACGCTGATGAATACTGCATCTCTGAAGAGGCGGTTCGCGACTAAAATCGAGATATCTCCCAAAGTGTCCCGTTTATAATTCGGAATTAAAGCAACTCGTTATTCTAGTTCGTTAATTTCATTTTAGACACCTCAAAGAAACCGTGAAAGTTGCATTCGCGTTTATTCGCCGTCAAAGATACCTCCTTTCCGTTCTATTTTTCATCGTTTTGCACCAGCCGTTCTCTGCTGCGTTCGCATCCCGAATCGATTTTACTGCGGGGTTTTTTCTCAAAGTTCCTGTGGAGCTAGTAAGCGTGAAATTCGAAACACGGAATTTTGACGGAGCACCTGTTTAAACGCTTTGAAATTTTATTACGTGCCGTAACTTTTAAGGTACGTGTTATGTAATAGTCTTTAAATATTCCTTTATCCAATATTTTCGATCCAGTTTAGATTTTTATATTCCTGGATTTTTTAGAATTTTGTCTTTGGATCTTTAGGGTTGTGGAGTTATACAGATTACTACTTTTCCAAATTTATACGTTCTTAGATTTCTACTTGTCTCGGCTCCTTAGGCCATAGATACGTTCTTAGACTTCTACGTTTGCGGGTTACTGCATTTTTAGATTCTCGGCATTTTAGAATTCCACGTTCCTGGATTTCTAGGTTTCTAGATCTCTTCGTTTGCAGATTTCTACGTCCTTAGATTATTACATCTCCAAATTCCGACATCTCCAGAATTCTACTACACCAGATCTCTTCATTCATAGATCTTTACATTCTTAGACTTCTGCGTCCCTCGATCCCTTACTTCAAAGATTTCTACATCCTTAGATCCTTCGTACTTAAACCTCTACATCTCCAATTTCATACAATACATTCTCTATATCTCCAGTTTCACAAAATAACTTTGTAAGCGTATTTACATGTATCGAAATTGCCAAGTCTGCATATACCAGTCCGCATCACCAACGAAGATGAGATTTAAGTTTGGAACGGCGTTCACAAATTTGATTGCTAGCGTAACAAGATTGTCTGCAGAAATTAGAATTACTCAGAGGGTTTAAGAGCATTCCCACGAATTTTCAACTAGGCGGTCGGAATTGAATTCCGCGAAATGGATTGCAAATCTGCGCTGCCAGGAATTATTGCAGTTTCATAAACTTAACAGAAATTTTATAAAACGAGCTTCAATGTAACGTTAACGAGTAATGGACGTCCGATGACACCTCGACGCGGAATATTGCGCGCGTTCGTGTAAATTTTAGCATCAGATAGGGAAGCTGCACAGTCGTTCTAATAATCAGAACGAAAAATATCTGTCGTATCGGCTGTTGAATAAATGTCATAAAAATATGGAATAATGGTTTGTAAATCTAGAGCGGTTGATCGCGATTAGTCCGATATCGGGAATCGAAACGAAAAGGCGTGAATTATGAAGTGTATTCAAATAATTTAATATGGCAAAGTACAAAGTAATATTTCGAAGTCAGACTAAAATTATTAAACTTCAAACACAGTTTGTTAAACGTCGGAACCGTTTAACATTACTCTCCCAGTCTAATAAATTACGAACACGCGTCATTCGTTCGAATGAACTCACGAAAGATTCCGAGTATCACGAATGCTTACCTGCGGAACATCATCATAGATCATATCGGACGATTAAAACGACGTTTAGATGAATTACTTGGCAGCTCAACGGTGATTTATCGAAAGCGAACGAAAGATCCTATCACGTGTTCGCGGAACAACAAAACGTATTGTTGATTCAATCTCTTAATCAGTGTCTATACTCGCACGAACACGAGAACCTTTACATTTTGGTAGCCGGCCAAAAACGTATTTGAGCCGTCCAAAAGTTTCTCACGTGCTCAGCTATCGTAGAGTAAATAATTCTCGGGCTAACGGTCTCGTGGGGTTCAACGTTCCGTCGTTAGACTTTGCACGAAAATGAGTGAACCAGCTAATTAAATAATTTAGTGCTCGTTGAACTCGGTGCAAAGGACATGTCGATGTGATTTGATGAACGATGCAGCTGAGGTTTAGGAAACTTGAGGATCTGATTACTTTTGGTGTGTGGATTTTTAGGAAATGTGGACCTCTGGATTTAGGGATTGTCGACATTTAAGAATTTCATAAATCCAAAGTAAATCTTTTGAATTAATTTTAATAGAAATATTTTAGATACAGGGATTTTTGGGATTGATGGATCTAAGAATTTCGACGATGTAAAAATCTAGGAACTAGAGATCGTAAGACACTCGGTATGTTCCTTGTAATTCACACATCACACAGTAATGAAAGATACAAGTATATTTCAAAATAATATCACTTACTATTCCACACACGCTTTGGTGTGGAGTTTGATCATATTATTAGATAATAGAGGAACAAGATGTTAAGGGGTGTAAAGACACGTTATTAATGGCTAACTCCTTATCTTTCAAGGGTGCAAGGATGCAATGTCCTCGGATTCGTGCATATGCATTGCAAATCCGTGCAAATTACTGTCGCATGTATTATTAAAAGGTTCATGAATCTTTATTCGCATCCTTGCGTGACCTGATCGATTGTGTTTGCAATACTCCGCAAACAT